CAGAAAGGCAGGCATGCTAAAGGAAGTGCCACATTTGCTTTCACAAAAGGGGAAAACAAGACTGCTTCTCTCTGTTTCTGTAGGTAGAAAATGCCGGAATGAATTTGTTTTATTATTATTTGCATTGGAAAATAATCTCTACTCGTTTTCTGTTTGCATACGGTGACAGACTGCATGGGGTAGGGTTGGGCGAATATTCAAATTTTTTATTAGTAGTTTCAAATAATACGCTATTCTATATTCACTTTGAGGGGAACCGCAATATTCATATTTCTCAGTAGGGGTGTGCGAATACTCGAATATACGAATTCGAATCAAATAGCAAGTTCCCAAATAATTCGATTCGCGAATCGAATTCCTAGTATTCGGTTACTCGAATATTCAATATATTCGGCCAAAAACGTGCGGTCGGCGCAGAGCTGACAAGAGCCGTTTTTTCTCCCGTTGTTAGCGCCGTGATGTTAGACAGACCATGCGAGTTTACTATTCACTGTTTGGTTTTCATGGGTACCCAACATTTAGTGAACTTTGCAGACTAAAAAAGTATTGTGTGATGATGCCGATAATTGACATAACCAAGTAGTATAATCTCGGCCTTTTTTTTTATTTTTATTCAGTACTCGAGCATGTTTTGACAGGCCGAGTAGAAAATTTCTTAAATTAACAACCGTGCTAAAGTACTCATAAGCAGCATTTCGCGATATTGGCCTTAGGAAATAAATTATTTTTATATGAACATTTGCTTAGTCAAGATAAAAGTGATAGGCCAGTCAAATTAAATCTGGCATTTGCCTTCCGTAAAATTGGACAAATAAAATTAAAGGGCGCAGGAGGAGAAATACCTCCGAAATTTTGGTTGAATTCTAGCGCTAGGCACCACTTCATGGACCTGTGTGAACAAATATTTATTTGTTTGAACAGATTCGCTTTGCAAATTTCGGCGTCGCCAGCCACCAGAAGTAAACCTTTATTCGCCATCGACAATCCTGGACTCAAGCGATTGTTATGCAGACGGCTCTTTTTTTTTTTCTTTTTTTTCTCGGCATCAATTATTGCTAATTTTAGATACAAGCAAAAAACAAAACAGCGAACGCAAAAAAAGAAAAAAAGAAAAGGCGTCGTCGTTATTGCCCCAAATCGCGTTTGAAATTTGCAAATAGAAACAGTGTCATTTGTGCACGCTATTCTAAAACTCACTACTGTTAAGTGCCTGTGGTAGTTTCTTACGCGGATAGTCTCAACCTTTGTGCTAAGATTAATTAAGTGGATGGCACTGGTTGTCTAAACATAAACAATAAATCATTTAAATGACCGTCAAAATGGGAGCGAGCACGGTATACACATTTTTAAACTTCATAAGTAAACCGACCAACTGAATGTTTACGTCGCAAAAATAGATTGAGAACCTCAAATACAAGTATGTGTAATATTATGAACAAACAAATCGCTCGGTGATGACGTACCATTACTTTTAGCCTCAGATCAAATGCAAGTTAAACGTTCGTGGTCTATGTCCTCCGCGAGTTTCCTCACATAATCAAAAGAAACTGTTTTCGATATATTATGAATACAAATAACTATAATTTCAGGAAATACAGATAGACTCCTTGCGCTGACCATTTTTAACGCCTTCCGATCCTAAATGCGCGATATAAATATACGCGCTTCTTACTGAGAATGTTATGTCACTGTTATTTACAAAACCTCAGTTGTCATAAGGACCTTTGAACCCTCGTGATGTCTTAGTCGTCGAGTAGACGTATCGGACTACAGTTTCCAAAGTAAGGCACAAAAGTGCGGTGAAACGCGACGAAAAACACGAATACGACGCATCCGCCAAGGCGCGGAGGGGAGAGCGGAGCAGCAAGTTGAAGCAACCTAATGGCTGCCGCGTCACGTGATTCCAAGATGGCAGCGCCCATGCGGAGGAGGATGAAAAGGACTATAGGTGGCGCCACTCATTTTTCAAAATCGCGGTTTTAGTGAGGGTCAGAGATACGTGCTGTTATACAACTTATGTTTACAAACAAACCGGAGCGCTCCTAGCGGACACACCAGCACCGCGCATGCGCGGTGGGGGTGTGGGTAAGAAGCTCGCCGTCGCCCATAAACAAACCATTGAAATGCGATGTTGTCGGCGTCGGTGTGAGTCCCCCTGCCCTTTTTCGCATTCGAATTGTGGCGATGTCTGACTACTTGAGCGGCTTCAGCGAAATTACCAAGGCTCGTTACACCGCAAAACTTCGCGTGAATAATGTGACATGTGGCGATTGATTCCGCGTGGACGCCGCAGCATGTACGCTAAAGCTTGATTCACATGATGCGATTGCGCTCGCAACGCTCGGGCTGCAAAAGCGTAAACCGTAGATGAGATGGTCGACGTCGATACTGAAAACCGCAAGCAGAATTGGACCAAGTGAATTAGGGATAACAAGTTGGTGATAATCACTGGTAACAATGATCAACACCTCCTTGTATCTACTGTTTACATTGAGCCTGCTTACCAACCTTCAAACTTTAGTCTTTTGAGGCCTGCACTTACTTTTTTTCGCAAGTACCGGGCCGACATTTGGTCTACGGGCCGTGTTGCCCGTAGACCAAATGTCTGGAATTCTGGAAAAAAAAAATGCATTCAAGCATTGAACTCTTTTCCTTTGTTACTGTTCCACAATGTGTTGAAATAATTTTATATCAACGTAACTGTTTGGCGTATGATTATGCAATTTAGTGTAAGGGTGTATAATTAGTTTCTAAAACCAAAAACCTGAAATTTGAAAAATAAATTCTTTAAAGGAGCTGCGCACCGATTTTAACGTCGAAAGAATTGGCATTTTCTACTTTTGACATTGTTCGCCTTGTCACAAAGGACAGAAAACACACCTCCTTCCTTCGAAATGTTGCAATTCCGCCGCGTAATCGCGATGCAAAAATTAAAATATTCCCCGACCTGCAGCCGTGAGTGGCGGCCATGAGAACCACGCGGCATGACGTCAATGGGGGTCTTGTAGAAAGATGGCAACTTGTGCGAATACCTGCTCGATAAAAGGTAACTTTTCTATAAATCTTGTCGTTCGAACATAAATATAAATGCGTCAAAAACCTGGTATCATCGACACAACTTTTATTATACGGAGTTTTAGTGGTGCCATCTATCCGAGGTCCATAAAACCGTCAGCTCTATCTGCTACCACAAACAGCCGCCAGAAGCCGGGGAGGGAGGGGGACAGGGCCGGACGGGCATGGCCAGACCTGGATGAAACTTTCCTCCTTTCACCATGATGTTCATCTGCGCCCGCCAGCACATGGTCCCGCGGTTGCGAGCGGATGAGTTCTCGCTGCTCACTGATGGCTCTAGAGAGAGGGCTTCACCAGAACCCGGCGCAACCCCCATTGACGTCGCAGCGCACATGACTCGGAAGATGGTGAAGGAGTTGAGAGGTGCCGATAACCTCCATCTTTGTCCATTTTTAAAAAAAAACTAGGACACGCAGGCCAAAGCGGTTTTTTTGTTCTTTACTTCGGAAATCTCGAGACACCAACTCCCAAATTATTTAAGCAAAGCACTGAAAGTGTTGCACATGTTCCTTCATTAACACTTTGAAAAGTATGAATATTGCAGCTGTGTGCTTCGGATGAAGGCACACCTTCAAAGCGGGATGGTGCACGCGCAAGTATATCTTGGGTAGAGACGCCCTGACAACCTGCGTTCGTCACTTGTGACTGGAGAAAAGATATTTGTATATAGCGAGAATACTTGTTTTAATATTTTGTCTATTTTAATGTGTTTAGTTACCCAATCCCCTCTTCAACCCCTCGACTGTTCTTAGTTTTGGAGAATTTCTGACCCTCAGCTGTTAAGTAATTGCCTTAGAAATCATATTTCTAGCCACAAACCTAATAAAATCAAAATTAAAAAAAAAATTTTAGGGCTGCCATTTCTTGGCACAGTCGCAAACTAATTCATAAGCAAGCTTGCTTTGTCCAAAACGGTTGAGTGCAGGAATGTTGACGAGTTAGGCTCATCCCAAACGGTTAAGGGGTTAGTGCCCCCTTGGTCCCGAGGGTACTCTAATAAACCAATAAATAAATAAATAAATGCATTATCTATCTGCTATCTGAATGTAGGCATTAGATTTTGTGATGCCACAGTCGATATTGTTAGATTAAAATTAACTTAGAAATGGATCAGTATGAGCTTGGGAACAACCTTTGTGAGTTCAGCTTGGTTTTCGTTAAAGCGTGGCACTGTAGTGAAAGGCTTAAAGAAATTATTTGGTTCAAAAATATTTGGGCCAAACCACTATTCGCTTCAAATTTGCTTCAAACTCAAAATCCACTATTCGCTTGTGCCTAGTGGGGGGGGGGGGGGGGGGGGGTGTTTCTCGCACGAGTAGTCGACCTGATCTATCGTGTAGGGTTATATTTGTTCCTTTTCCGCGGCTAAGTGGGGATGCTGGTGGGCTTAACCGAAGAAACAGCAGGCTTAAAGGTCATGTGGCGGATCGAAAAAGAGCGCTTGAGAAATTTAGGGCGTGGTGACACTTTCAGCATGCTTGCCGCGGGGGCTCGCTGCGGGGGGAAGGGAAGGCGGTCTCGCACACCCAGTTCTCTTGCAAACCGTACGCGGGTGTGATTCTTAAGTGGAACCCTCTTCGCCGCCAATCCGACGAGGCGGTGAAAGCTACATGCTCGTCCAACCAGCGAGCTGTCGGGCTCACGCGAGCGGTAACGGAAGACGAGCGATCAATTAGTTTGGCGAGTGTGTAGCTTCCACGACCCCGCCAAACAAACTGATCTCGCCGAGTGTTTAGGGCACGTGTGAAGCCGCCGTAACTTTAGTTCACGGCGACGTCGTAGCACGAGCAAAACAACTTTCCTCGACGCGTTGCGGCGGCTTAGCTAAACTGGTCAGTGAGAATCGGCGGTGAACGGCGTGCGGCGAGGGCTCGCACGAGGAGAAAGAGCCTCTAACGTGGCGGCCCTCTTGCTTTCTCCCGCAGAAAGAGGGAGAGATCCCCGACGTAGAATGGTGGGACACATTCATCATCAAGGGGGAGAGGTAAGGTCCCGAGGATACTGCGCGGACGGAAACGGCGCCTCCTCTTGTGCGTCTCGGCTCAAGGGCATTTCTCCACCCTTGCGGATGCGCCTTCGAGGAGCGGGGCGTACGCGCCACACGGCGAGTGCATGGGCGGTCGCGCTTGGCACCCCGTCCGACACGGCCGATTTCGGAGGGTCTCGTGCAAGTTTTGGCCGAGGTCGTCGCTTGGACACGGCCGATCTCCCGAATTTTTGTTGTGGCCGGCTTCGTTACGCCCGATCGTACGGCGGGATGTAACGGAACGGTGTACGTGCTAGACTTTTAAACCCCCAGGTTACGCGTCTTCGAAGTGAGCCAAAGCATCGTTTTTGTCTTTTGCTCGAGCGAGATGGAAAGAAGCTCAAAGTTATTTTTCTTGGGAAAACCATTTTTTCTTTATCTCAGTCCCTGCCCAGTAACGAATATTTTATATTCAATGAACTTTGTGGTGCAAGCCAGATTCTAAGACCAGGGCATCGAACGGGGTTGCGGACGTGGCCACCATGTTGTGAAACAGTTTCTGGAGGTTGTTTGTCTTGCAGCTACGACAGCGTCATCGACAGCGTCGTGAACAGCAACGTCAAGTTCGAGGACCTGTTGGAGGGCGTCACCAACCTCGTGGAGCACCCGATCCAGATGAAGGCTCCGAGTGAGTGGCGCGCGGTCTTCGTTAAAAAGTTCGAAAACAGTTTCACCCATTGTGCATTTTTTTTCTTTTTCTTTTCAATTATCTAATGGGAGAACATACAGCACTTGCAAGCTTTCTAGATTGAGAAGCGTCGAACGCAAAGATTGGGGGCAAAAAGTCGTCATCTTCTTTTCGGTCTTGTTTCCGAGCATCCGCTTCTACGACATTCCGGCTGTCTCGGTCTCCACCGGAGGTACTCAAAGGAGCTTCTCCATTTGACGACGAGCTCTCTTTCTCCGATTTCTATTCGGTGAGGCGTCGGAACTCTGAATCGGGAAGAGCCAACGTGCGGAACGGCCGTCTTGAGCGTATCGCGTACATGGAGCATCCTTTCAGATTTCTAAATTGCTCTGAAATTTTTGAGCATCATAACATCTGCTCGCATTTCCCCTTGTCACGATTAGCGCCTCTGTACATGCTCCCATAGGGAGCAGAGTAACGCCAACTGTAGCGCCCCCACTTGGCGACTCGCGGCAAATGCCAAAAAGGTTCCAACTCTCGCACGGTCGGTGTACCGGGTATAGGAGAAAGCGGTGGTTTCGTTAAATCTAGGCTATTTATCGCGTTCAAACTGCTTTTATTATCGTAGGTAAGCATCCTAAAAGCATTTGCATCGCTCATTGTGGTGTGAGCGGTCAAAGAAGCCTCGTTTTGAGCCCGAATCGCCTTACGGTAGTGGACGACAGAGCGGGCTTTGTGGTGAGTTGGGTGGGCAGCAGTTTTGCGGCTGTGCCGCCAAATGTTTGTGGAGCGTCTCCACTTAACCAGTGCAGTATGACCGCTTGCCTGGGGTTTGTAACGAGCATCACGCATTGGCGATGCATGAAAGCGTGCCAGAGCGATGTTCATCCAGGTCGAAACGAGCAGGGGTGGGGATGGAGCCCATGACCCCTGGCTTCTGCGACGCGACCTTTCGTTCCGTGTGCTGCGAGCTATGACGCACTAATCGAGTTACACGCTTGGTATAAATTCGGCATATAGTCGATCCGCGACGAGCATTGCGTTATCGTACACGCACGTAGGAAACGTGATCGAGCGATATGATGAGAGAAATTCACGGCGAGCTAGCGGCAGATCTGTGCAGTAGCGGTCGATTAACAGCGAGCCACGGAGAGCTCGCTGGAAAAGAGGAGCTCTCCGTGGCTCATAGGCCAAGATCGAAGGCACTGCATTTCGTGCTAGCTTCCGTTTGCCGTCGTTCCGGTGTCTGGAGAACTGGTCTTCATCAAAATGAACATCGCAGTTTGTGTTCATTCATTTATTCAAACTGTTACGTCAATTATCGCGATAATATAACTTACCTCGCACATCTGAGTACAAGGAGTGGGAGTGAATCTCTTTCTGCCGTTTCGCGACAGCCACAAAAGTCCTCATTTGCGGCGTTTCCCGCCCTCTGTGATACGAAAAAGCTGTTTTCCAGCCTCATGCCGGTGATTACACCCGAAAGCGCAGCACCCTGGCATCTGGGTGCCTTTTAAACGCTCGAAATGTTGCAAAAACAACGACTGCCGATAATACGCCAATCCTCCCGCTGCAGAGACGGGAACTTTTCGCGAAAGTGTGGGAAACTTTTGCCCACGTGATCGCCGTGAGCCAATAGGAAGCGCAGATTGTTGGCGAATACGGACATCAGTCAGTGGCGCTACTCTGCTCCTTACAGGAGCATATACAGTGGCGCTAGTCGCGATCCCCCTAACAAACTTTGCATTCCCTCGTTGAGACTAATTTCTTAGAGTTTTCCACATTAGTCCTGGCCACGACTGACTGGAAGGAATTGACGATTGAAATGACTCTCACCAGAAAGTTCATTTCTGGTGAGAGTGATTCTTAATTACTCGCCACTTATAAACGTGTCTATCGGTCGCTTAGCAACGGCTCTCGCGATTGCGCACTTGATTGGAAATATTTTTTGCGAATTAGTCGTTTGTATTAGTGTTATTCGATCGATTATCTTCTTTTTATGTGTTGTCATGAAGCAAAGATAGCTGTACTTCCTAGTCAGCAATGTTCACTTATATCCCGCCATGGCTAACTAGCCGCATTCATGCCGTGGTCATCATGGACCCGATCACTACGATTACTAAAAATGTGCTCTTTTTCGGCATTTTAAAAAGATAGCGAATTCAGTTCGGTTTATCTCTCGGGACGTTACGATAAACATAAAAAGCAAAGCGAAACATGGCGCTTCTAAAACAGCTATAGTTCCTCAAAGACGCAGCAGATAGCAGCCTCTCTCAGGGTATGTGCGGTTTCTTGTTTAGGCAGGAACTTCCAAATATTTTTTCAATGACACGCACATAAAGCAGCGACCTTCCGAGGGCTAACGAAACATCCCCGTAGAGGCCAGCCCGCGAAATATTCGTAGGCGGAGGTCCCAGTTTTTATCTCGTTCGTCGAGGAGAGAACAGAATGCCCTTTAGACAGACTATGCAACGGAACAGCCTAGGGAGAGCATGATGCAAGATTCTGGACGTTACTATGACTGCTCTTTTTAAGCCGCATTATATTTCGAAAAAATTGTGATATGTAGGAGGCATAATACAAGGAGTATTGCTCGAAAAACACCGTCCGACGGTGCCACCTGGTGTCTCCCTCAGGGTGCAGGAAGAGAGGCATTTCACTATCTTTGATTAGTTTTTTAAAAGGGCACTGGAAGTTGATCCTGAGATCATCCTTTTGTGGTGACAACTCAATCTAGACGCTCTAAGCATCCCAACAAACCCGAAATCAATCGTGCATAGCTGATTTGCTCGTTAAAAGCGTGTTCAAAGATCGCGACAGGCCCTTTTTGAGAAGAGCTTTCTTCCGAGTGAAGTGGACGACTTGCAAGCAGTGGGGGGCTTCGCGCGGGGTGAGAAAGAGGAGTCTTATCTGAATGTGTACCTATCAGACTCTCTTCGAAACGAGTTATAATAAAATCATTCGGAATCTGCACGTATTGTAGGGCTTTCATTGATGCACACAATGTAGTCCGCGAGAAAAAAGAGTTCATATGTTTTTCTCTTGTCCCGAGATGAATAGGCGGTTTTGTAATGTAGGGTTTGCTATATGTGGGAACACATTTACAACAATATAAGATCAAAAATTACCTCGTTCAAAAATTACCTCAGTGCCCCTTTAATTAAAAAATGGACCGCCCACAAATGTAATTTTGTTTTTTAGAATTCTCATAGTTTGTAGGTTCAGTTATCGCCGTAAATAGACGCTCAAAATCCACTCGAGTGCCCCTATAAATAATAGGACAGGTTGAAAGGCAGTATTGGGAGTGGGAAGTAGTTTTTTCGTTTGTGGTATGTGGGACGTAGAGAAATACTCACTTCTTTTTTCCTAATTTGAGGAGCGTTTTCGACTCCCGCCGATCGCAAAGTGGCGCAAAGAGGATTGGGAACAGCTGTGGGGTTGCCTCGCAGCGGCCACGGTGAAGCCCGTGCTGCTTCCTGTGTACTTGACCAAGAAGGAGCGCAAGAAGCTGCGGCGCCAGAACCGCAGGGAAGCCTGGAAGGAGAAGCAGGAGAAGATACGCCTGGGGCTGGAGCCCCCACCGGAGCCCAAGGGTGGGTTCCCTCCCCAGTTGGGTCGCTCCCCACTGATGCAAGAAAGCAGTTGGGGACCAGCTTGCGGGTTCAACGACAAACATTCTACCGAGTGTCTGAACCATAGTTACGCGTCGACTCGACGGGTGTCTTAGATCCACCGAAATAGTGCCTAAACAGGGAATACGCGTTACTTAGCGGCGGGAACGGTCGAGAAAGATTTGCAGCTCGGGCGAGGGTGCAACCAACCCCCCGTGTTCCTAGGAGCCCGGCTCGAGAATCCATTCTTTGCAGTGTTGTCTTACCATGTAGTCATGTTTCTACTGTTTTCAAAGCATTTTAATATAGCTTCTTATTGGGGGCGTGCAAATATTAAAAATTTCGAATATGAATCGAATATTTTTTTGTAATTGATTCCTTTTTGATTGAACAACTTCCTATTTGGCACTTTTCGGGTATTTGGCTGGAAAAAACTATTCGAGGAAACGGCGAATGTTCGGTCCAAGTATGGACGAGTCCCACATTGAACCCTCCTCTAGGATACGGAAATTTTAAGATAATATATTTGACGTGTCGACTTCACTCATTCGGTAACCTTTGGTGAAAAAACTGCGCGCAATACGAGCCTCTAATAAACTGCGGCGAGGAAGTTGCCACTTTCATGGGGCTAACCCATCACAGAGCCGTATGTAGAGAGAGTTTGGTCAATGGGAGGAGTGGGCAGATCCAGGGCATGCACCAGATGCAGAAAGAGGGCTCGATACTCTCTTTTGGCCAACCAGAAGCCGAAAGTCATCTCCTAGCGGTGGCAGCGAGAAACAGTTCTGATAAGTGCGCAAGAGTTGAATGCAGTAACTCTTCATTGTGGAAAATGTGGTGCGCACAACGTTTCGATTATAATCGCGCAAAAAGATGTACGAAACAAATGTGCCACTCAAACTCTGATTCGCTCAGACGGAGTGTGACCGCTCAGACGGCAGATTCCCGGCCCTCGGCGCCTGGCATACAGATTCCGTCAATCATGCTGCTAGTCGCGCGCACTTTTTATATCTTCTATGCTTTTATATATTTTCCGCCACATTTGCGCGTGACCGTGATGGAAACATCAAGTGCACCATAGTTTCAGTCGCCGAGAGTTGCCCCAACGCAGATATTAATTCTGTTTCTCACGACCACTGCCGGGTTATTATTCGCGGCTTCTGGCTGGCCACATCCGAATTTGTGAAGATGCCCTGGAACATACCCAGCCCGCTTCTGGCCTATGGCGCCTCCCCCTTTGCCTCCAATACTTCCCGAAGAATGGCCAAACTTTCTCTACATACAACTCTGACCCGCCGAGATCAACACTTGGAAAAATATGAATATCGCGGTTTATCTGGGAGCAGATATCAAATAGCCTATTATTTGAAGCTACTATTCGAAATTTGTGATATTCGCGCATCACTATATGATCTTTTATAGCCGCAATACTAATTAGATTTTGTTCTCGTTTTTCCACAAAATCCAAGTTCAGCATTTAAATTTTACTAACGTTTTTTACAGATTTGCGTAAACTTTTTTTCTAAAGAGTGGCTTATTTGCTGCATTTTGATGTACTTCTTGAAATAAAAAGATGTTTCGTCCGTCCCTCGAAAATCGCCACTTTTCCCCGTGGTACGGGAAGTGTTGGACCATAACAAATGTGCAATATTAGCTCGAAAAATGTAAAAGTAGCGCATAATGTTCCGTTGAAAATTTTAGCCGCTTTTTTTTTATTGGGTGCATAATTTGAGATTCAATATAATTTTCTCGCTTTATTTATATTCGCTTTTAGAACCTTTTGTTATTTTCACGTCCGTTAGGTAGGTAATAGGTTTGTGTTAAGCTTTGCCGAGGAGTGCCGGACAAAGGAAGGGAGGCGCTCGAAGAGCCGAAGCAAGGGGCATGCTTTTTCCGCAGTGCGCATGTCCAACCTGATGCGTGTTCTGGGCACCCAGCAAGTGCAGGACCCGACCAAGATTGAGGCCCACGTCAGGGAGCAGATGGCCAAGAGACAGAAGTGAGTGGGAACTCCATCTTGGGAGCTCTTTGTTGGTGCCCAGTTTGCACCTCGCAGAGGGCAGTCTGGGAACACCGTAATGGGCACCCCCAGGGAATGGAGGGCAGAAGAGGTCTCGGAAACACAGCCGGGTCATTCCACGCCACATTGGCCGTAACGAATTTGGTCTGCACAATACTTGTATGAGCTCGATCATGCCGGCAGAGAAAGGTGCGTGCAGAATGTGCAAACACCCTTCCACTTAGCGGCGTTTGTCCGCGGGGTTTCTGGTGAAGGCTCTTTCCGCCGCTTCTCTTACGTTCTCTTCCACCACGGTGGAAAAAGAGAGAGGCGTCATAACGGCACCGGCTCGCCACAAAACGACTGTGCCCAAGTTTCGCTCCCATTTTCAAAAAACGCCGCAAAACGTGCAGTGTGATGTGTCCACGCGCTTTTGAGGCTGGAAGACGCATGACCGTGCCTGGGTGCGCGGCCTTGGAATGCCGTGCAAAAGGTTCTCTTTGCACTTACTGGGTATTTATGCTTGCCAGGGCTTTCAGTTATACATGACATACGAGAGCCCAACTACCCGGAACAGAATTTGCGGCTCGAAATTCGGTTTCTTTCCACCCAAAAGTCGCCGATCGTTAACCGGCCGGTTCGAGTCGCGCTCACTTTCTTCTCCGTGGTCACGGGCCGTTTTCTAAGGTTTAGACACAACCACCAAAGGTAATCAGTCGTGGGTCATTGAAGCCACACACTCAATATTAAAAACGAATAAGAAGTACTATACTGATTTTTTGTGGCTTTGAAGAAGCTGCAAATACTTAGATTGGGGAAAAAAAAAGTATCCCAGCCACGTGACTTCCGCCACCTCTCTCCTCCTCTATAGTATTTCTTCTTCCTCCCCAGTCCGGTTTAGGTTTCAAACAGTTGTGTTTTTTTTTTTTTTTACTTTATTAAAAATAGATGTGACGCTGTAGCAAAATATTGATTGGGGATTGGGAAAAAAAGAAATAAAACTTTCAGGACTGTCAGTGTTGCTTTAAAGGGGCACTGACACATCAAAATCATATTTTTTTTTATTATCCGAAACGGTCGAAAGCGATGCCGGGACATTACCCTCAAAATTTGAAATTTGGGAATTCAGTATTCGTGAAGTAAAAAAACAATTTCCAAATGCCGAATTCGAAGTTCCCGCGCGATCGGCGCCGGTGCCTTGACGTCAAAAATTGCGGAGACCTGAGAGTCCCCTTTCCTGTCACCACTCCCTGCTGTTGCCATGGCGACCCAAAGCGAGGAGGAAAGGAGCGAGCGCCGGCTAGCGCCGGCGTTGCGGCGGACCGGTTTTGAGCGGTGTCGCCTGTTTTCCGTTGGAGGATACAAATCCAGGAGACGGCACCACAACGAACTCCCGATTTTTGGTATTTCAAAAAGAAGGGCCGTAGTGCGTTCGCAATTGCGTTAAAAAACATGTTTTAGGATTGCCGTCATTAAATGTTATAAAGATGCCGCCTACAAAGCTTCTAAATTTCCTGATTTTTGACGTCACCGATCAAAAGAAGCGAGGAGGCGAGAGGCAGGAAAATCAAACGGCAAAAATAAAAAGGCGCGCGCGCGCGCGGGAAAATTTTTTTTCGCGATGCGTTTTTTTTTGCGTGTCTATGGCTGCAACTTGCATCGTTTTAGACAATAAAAATAAATACGACCTTTGGGGTGTCAGTGCCCCTTTAAGGTCTGGGCAGTGGAAGTAAATTTTGTGAAGGAGGCAGAGTTGTGAGAATTTCTTTGGGTGGTGCGAAGGAATTGCTTTGAGTTGATCTTTTAAAGGGAAACACTGGTCTTGCAGCTTTTTGTCTGATATTTTGACAGAGCCCAATGAAACTGCACAAGTGTGTTGAGTCTTCTGTGCTGATTTTTGATATCCATTCATTTGGTCAATCAGTAGATTTCTACTCAAGATAATGAAAACCTGGCCACCTTTGTCTGCAAGAACAATAGGGAAGAACTGCTTTATAAAAAAGTTATATTTAACCTATGTGTAGGTACTACAAAAAAAAAAAAAAACAATGTTGAAGGTACTTTTGAGTTTGCCCAATTATTAGGGATTATTTGTATTTGTGTTGGTAATTGTTTATTTTGAATGCCCAATAACGGCCTAAGGCTACACATTGGTGCACTTGTTAGTAACAATACAGATTACATATAAATCCAAACAAGAAATGTTTCATTATTTCACTATAAAGCTATAAAGCATAAACATTATTTCAGTACACGAAGCAAGCACTTCTCAAACTGAGGTAAGTTAAGGTTGAAAATGTCAATTACATCTGATTCCAGATGATTGATATAATTTTGCGGTTGGCCCGAGGGTGACATGAAATCAGTATGATTGACATAGAATGTGCAATAATAACGAATGTTTCTGCCAGGTATATGACAGTTAATAGATGAGACCAGACAGGTAATATCGTAATAGGAATTGTATGCATTTAAACGAGGATTCAAGGTCGCGCAAACATTGTCTCGATGCAAGATTAGTAATTTGCAGTTGTTTAAGTACTTTGTCGTAGACAATGATTCGTGTGAAGGAGATTTAAAATGATAAATTCTGGCAAATTGTTTTTTTTACACGTTCCACATTTTGGAAGCTTTAACACTGAGGCTATTCCAAATCACAGAGCAGAAGTCATGTTTTGGAATTACTATGCCTCGATAAAGCACAAAGAAAAGGAAAACATTTGAAAAACACTTAGTGAATCTTGAAATTGCACCGAGAAAAGGAAAATATGAGCTCAGAACGTATGACGCGTGCGAGTTAAAGTCAAGTTTGGGGTCGAACATCACTCCAAGATCTCTCACCATCATAATGCAAGTAGTGATCAACGAATCTTCCAAGTGGTGCACAGAATGGGTTGGACTAGTGTTATGCCTGAAAGATATTAAATTTGTTTTTACAGTGTTAATGGGCCCCTGCAATCATATTTAAGCGTCCACCTTTTTTGCGGTTTCCACGTCTCTTGAAGTTCGGGCAAGCCAGCGGTCACGGAGAGAGTAACTAAATACCAGTGCATCATATTTTAACCGGACGACGCGGAAACCTCCTCTACCGACGATGACGACCCGCGGTACCGAAAGCGCGCGAAACGTGACGTCTTTGGTCCTGGGCTTACTACCGGTCAGAGCCGCTAAAAGCTTCTTTTTAATCGAAATACAAAATATAAGCGACGCGAACCGTTTCAATTATTTATGAAAGTAGTTTTTGTTCAGAACTTTATATCAGAAAAGAAACAAATGCAGTTTATAAAGTACGGAAACAAGAAATGACCCGTCGACATACCCGCCACCAAGCGGCGGAAAAGGCGGCGCATACTAGAAAGGAGTAGTGGGATCAGGCGCCGACACGGAAAGGTCCCGGATGTATGTGGCGGCGCTGCGATCGTTTACGAACTGAAGGATCCGATCGGCTCCGAGTGTTCCGAAGGCCTTCAGCAGGCAGCTTTCTCTTGCGTTTTGTCCGTTTCGTGGTACGGCAGCGCGAAGTGGCTCCCATTCTGAACTGATCTTTATCCCTGTTTGCGGTCGTTTGTGGCCAACGAAGTGTCATGCCGAATTAGTGTTTAATCGTGCAGCAAATGCAATGAGAGCCGCTCTGGCTGCCCGCTCTATACAGCCTATCCAGAACACGCTTTAGTGGCGCCCTCTCGCACCGTCGACACAGAGTGTGGCAGCCGTGAGCGCTTGCTGAGCTGACTATCCCTCCTCTAGTTAACGGCCCATCAAGCAACCGAGGACGTCATGAGGGAGGTTATTTTTTGCTTGTTTTTGTAATTTTAATTTGCCTATAACTTTTATAATAAAGCGAATTTCGAGAACAGAAAAGTTTCACTAAGTTACTACGTTCAGTGCGCTCAGGTTCGGTGCAAATTAAAAACCAGTGAAAAAGTGCTTGCAGGGCCCCTTTAAGACTAAACCCATTGTCTTTACACCATTGAAAGATGGCATGGATATCTTCCTGGAGTAGAGCACAATCATTTAATGCCGAAATATTTCTATAGATCTTGAGGTCATCTGCGAACTGCAAAAGACTCAAATGACGAATGACGTCTTGGATATTTTTGGCAAAGATATTTAAAAAAAAAAAGTTTCAAGGTTGGAACCCTGGGATGCACCGTACGGTACAGGAAAATAAAGAGGCTACATTTGCGTATCCGACACAGTTTTCTCTCGCAGAAAGATGACTTTCAAACCAAGGACAATACTCATCACTCAGACCAAGCATAGAAAATTTGTGTAACAGTAGCTGATGATTTACACGATTGAATGCCTCGCTACAATCAAATGCACTGCGTCAGCTTGCTCTCGAGAACAAACTGTGGGGGCAAGATCATTTAAAAAACACGCCAAATTTATTTCAACAGACCTGCCGCTTGTGAAACCATGCTGTGCATCGGGTATGTGCTTAAAGGACACATGCAAAGGAAAAAAACATTTTTTTTAAACGGCTTAGATGGAAAAAGGACGCCATAAAACGATTTTACAACGAAGAAAAACAATTTTTAGAGCTATATTTACGGCGCAAAACGAATTTGTAGTTGGCGCCCGCGGGCACCGCGGAAAAGTGGTCTGTATTTATCACGTGACTGGTCTTTATTTATCACGTGGTGCTTGCGTTCTTTCGGAAGCTTCCTATGGCCTCTAAAAGTAACTTATTCATCTTTGTTTGAAGTATAACAAAAAAACTAAGATGAATAAGTAACTTTTAGAGCCCAAAGGAAACTCCTGAAAAAGCGCAAGCAGACGTGATAGACCTGCGCGCCGGTCAGACGACGGCGGCGGCGCCCCGAAGCAGACAAACTTGTGCGGCGGCGGCGACGGCGGCGTGGAGAAACGCGTTGAAGCGGCGTTCGCACAACGCTCAGCGTGCGGCGGCGACGCAGCGCGGCGCCGCGCGGGCCTACCACGTGACCAGCGGCGGCTCCCGCGAGCGCCAACTGCAAATTCGTATAGCGCCGTAAATA